TTGCTGGAAGCAAAGCGGGCATTCTCTTTGTCGAGGATTATCTGGGTTTTGGCGTCCTCCCAACTGTGGGTGCTGTGTTATCTGGTATAAGTCTGCAATTTATCATCCTGGCCTGCGTGTTAATTACTTCAGTGTGGCTTGTGTTGGGTTTTGTTTTTTTTTTTAATTTCTAATTATCTTTCCTTTGGATTCGAACTGCCTTTCTTCCCTTTGTAGACTGTTTTTTGGAAGAGTTTGATCTCCAGACGAGGATAATTGGACCTTGGGGCCCATGTTGGAGGCATTAAAGGGAATTTATTCTACTCTGGTGACTTGGTTATTTTTGTGCCGCGTCCCTTTGGGTCATCACACCGAGAAATGGGGTGGGGTGCGGGTTTCGGTTGTGTCTGTAGGGAGGGCAACGTGGGACGGGAGGAACGTGGAGAGGAAGAGAGGGTTGAGTTGGAGCAAGGGTGAGAATGGCGTCCTCTGAGCCGGGCGAAGGCAGCTTTGATGGGAGCAAGAGCAGTCGACCCTCAAATCTGCTCTCTGCACCCCAATCCTCTCTTGACTGGCCTGTCCCACTCACGCAGTCTCCCTCCCTCGACACAAGTTGGATGGGAACTCGGAGGTCTTCTAGTCCAACCCCCTGCCCAAACGGGAAACCCTATGCCATTTAAGGCAAACGGTTATCCAACCTTCTTCACCTCAAACTTTCCACCTTCTGCCAGAGTCATTGGCTCAGAGGGGACCTCCGAGGTCTTCTAGTCCAACTCCCTACTCAAGGCAGGAGACCTTATACCGTTCTGGTCCAATCTGTTGGGGTTGGGTTGGGCTTTCTGGAGGGTTTTCAAGACCTCCGGTGATGGATCAGCCACAACTCTTGTTGTGATGAAATGGTTCTCACGGTTGCTTCTCACTTCTAGATTGGACCTCTCTGGAACAAGCCTCCTCCTTGCCTTGATCCATCCCGTAAACTTCCTAAGTCCTGCTGATCTTCCACCCATTTTTCCACCCGTATTGGGTCTATCCAAGAGAGGCGTTCCACTCAGCTGTCACTAGAACTAACGCCCCACGAGTTTCAATCGCCCCACCGCCACACTCACACAGCTGTGCCTTCCCCGAGATCTTCGATTTGGTTGGGACTGGCCAACCCTTCCCGACCGCTGTTGGGCTGAGCCACGGACCCTGGGGGTGAGTGTGCGAAGAAGAATTGGCGAGTGTACAAAATCAGGATTGAGGTAGGACCCTGTGGTGGTGAAGACTGGGAAACGGAAGAAGCGTGTTAAGGGCACGGACCTATGCCTGGTCAGGGAATTGTGGAGAACCCCGTTTCCAGTTGAAGACTTCTAACCACCACCAAGTCCTCGGAGGAACCCAACTGGTGCCCTTCATTCCAACCACAACCAAGGAAATCAATGCAGGCAAAGAGGCCGTTTGCTAGCTCCACCATGGCTCCGGAATAACAGAATTACTCAATCTCTTCTTGGAAGGCCTCCAGGGATACAGCAGCCACTTCTGCCGTTCCATTGATTCATAGAAAACCCGAGTTGAAAGGGGCCTTGGAGGCCTTCTAGTCCAGCCCACTGCTTGAGCAGGAGACCCTACACCATTTCAGACCAATGGCTGTCTAATTTCGTCTTGAAAGACCTCCAGGAACGGTGCACCCACAATGTCTGGAGGCAAAATCCATTCCACTGAATCATCAGCTCCCGCTACCACCCTCCGTGCCAAGAGTGTCTCGTCATCCTGCCCCAAAGTCCCTTTCCAAGCCCCTCCAGAGCCGGGGGCCCGGGAGGGGGCTCACCCTTTTGCCACCCTGAACCCAGAACACAGATGCCCCCTTCAAGGTCCCCACGCAGGATGGAGGAGTGGAAGCCGTTGTCCGAGGGGTGGAGGACAGGCTGCAGGGCTTCTCCTCTCAGGGCGAGGTGCTGGCCGGAGCACGTCCCCGAGACGTGGCGGAGAACAGTGGGCTCGCTGGCATCCCTGTGGTGGCGTGGCTGTGGGTGCCTCCCGCAGCGCCCAGGAGGGACGATCGCCTGGCGAACAACACGCCTGTCGGAACGAGAGAGGTGCTGAGGTTGGAGGTGATCAACACACACAACAGCTGTTGCTCCCACCGGCCCCAATCCAGGGTCTGCTCTCTGGAAGCCCACCCCCTGAATTTCAGCTCCTTCTAGCCCTGATGATGTTCCCTAGTTGGGTCATGAAACATCTACAAGGAAACTGCCAAGTTCAGAGACCACCAAGGACCCCACAGTCCTCCTCTTCCTCCGCCTCTTTGCAAAACCCCTTCTTGCACTGGTGATGTTACCTAGTTTGGGACATGAAACATTGGTAAGAAAACAACCAAGCTCAGAGAGCACCTTCCTTCCTTCCTTCCTTCCTTCCTTCCTTCCTTCCTTCCTTCCTTCCTTCCTTCCTTCCTTCCTT